AAATAAAAAAAATTTCCTAAAATGTTTTGCGACACTCTCAAGAGGTTAAGCTAAATTTGCTGAAAATGTCTCTAGATGTAGTGAGTGTGTGACAGTATTGTCATAATTTTTTTTTAGGTTCAGCGTGCACCATCCCCTCCTATCCCTACCCTACAGAATAAATACCGCAACCCTTCAAATGCTACGGTAACAAAAACTGCCTTTATTTGAACAGACAAACATTGCAAATGCTCATGTTCACTTCATGTGTATAAAATTGTGTATAACATGTGGCATATTTTGAGTTTTGCTATTTGTAATCGTGTTAGTGGGCTAGTTTTGGGCTTGCTCTGTTATGCAGATCTAGCAACCATGATTATCTTCTCAAGAGCTTGTAACCAAACCCTCAGTCTAATTACCAAAACTCTATGATCCTTACTTCAGCTAACTGCAAACAACCATGTTCACTTCTCACTCACTAATGTCTACATATTTTTCAGGATTTCTCTGCGCTTCGGGCTCCTCCGTCTCCAGAAAGCAGAAACAACCAGAGAACAGAGAGTAATCACTCATACATATACACACATACTGTATCATGAGGGAGATGTCCTATTGGCTGTTTTTGTTTATATATTATCTAATAATATCTGCTACACCCTAAACCTGACCTTTACAGAAATGATTTGCAATTTTCAGATTTGAATTAAAAATGATTAAGCCATTATTAATTATCAGAGGTCCCCTAAATTTGCGTAATTTCAGGTTTAACTAACATTATGAGTATTTGGTCCCTAAAGCATTTTTTGATTTAGTTCTGGTCTTTAGTTAAGTTTTGGTCTTAAATTAAGCATATATTTTTGGAGGGTTTAATATATTTGTTTTCTTCAGAGGACAGAAGTGAGGTTGTTAACGAGCTGTGTGCGTTAAGAAGACGTCTGCGCAGTGAACAGCGGCGTCTGGAGGAGCAGCTCTTGCAGACGGAGTGGGAGCATTTTCCCTCCCCTTTCACAGACAGGTACTGTACAGTTATTTTGATGATGTTTAAATGTAATGTTTAAGTCCAACAGTAAAGGGATGTTTTAATAATTAGCCTGACCTGTTAGTCAACATGTACATGAATACAGCAGGTCAAAACAGTTGTACTGTCAGGGGCGTAAGCATCAGCCTTTCCTGGTCTTGGCTGGTTTAATCCGATTTTGCTAAATGAGCTGTTTTTTATAGGCTTCACATCACTGGAAAACTCTTTCCAGTTAATGAGGATCAGTAATCGTCTGTGATCTCTCAAACTAATGGTTTATAATTTTGCTGTCTTGAAGGAAATTATGCTTTGGAATTATCTCTACAGCAATATTCCCGATGGATACATCCTAAAAGGAATCAAAATAATAAAAATGTGATGTTTATAGGTTTTGTTTTACATGACTAATGTGTAATGAAATCCTTGATCGCATTGAGTACAGAATTGATCTGAAAGATATGCATATGTAAATAAAAAGTAACCCTAAATGGCATCTTAGTTGAGAAAAGTAGGCTACATGATTTTCACTTTTAGTTTATGTATTCTGGTCTTGGCCAAAGTAAGGTTTTCATTCAGTTTGTTTGGATTTCAGTTTACGTTTACATTTATTTAGCAGATGCTTTTATCCAAAGTGACTTACAATTGAGGTATACAACCAGCGATTCATCATAAAGAGGCAAATAAACACAGGAAGTGCTCATAATAAGTTTCAGGCATTGTTCAGATTAGTACAAGCTAGATGGGGGGGGGGTTCAGTATAGCTACTGATTGGTCAGTATAGCTACATCAATATACCAGGGAAACAATTGTTCTCTACTGTATGTGCAGCACTCATATATAACCTAACACATTATATCCTGTAGAAAAAGGTTACATTTTCTTAATAAAATAACACTTTACCAAGTTATGTCTATAATATTTTATTATGCAGTCACTGTTTTATAAAAGCAATATTGTGAATAATCCTAACTAATGCAGTTGCAGGCACTCCAGCATGCCTAACAATGTCTTTAACTATGACTGTTTTTACAATATAGCACTTTATGTGTGTGTTTGCAGGCACAGGACGGATGTGTTTGACATGGCTCGTTTGCGTATGCCTGTGCGAGGCCCCTCCGCCCGTGGCACTGAGCCAATCAGCTCAAAGGGAGCCGATGACATCATGTACAGGGGTAAGAACTGACTAGCTAATACCAATATTAATCTGAGCTATGAGGATTATAAATATTAGTTTACAAGTGTTTGTAGTTCCTTGTGGCCAATCATACTAAAGTCATTTGTAGTCAGCAAAAATAAATATTGTGACTTTGAAATGAGAGCTTAATTAATGTTTGGTCTTATGTAAATCCATCTTTTGTGTAGAACTGACACCTTTTTTTTTTTAATAATTTTTCCAGATGCCTTTATGCCTCTTCCTAGAACATGGCAGTCTGTAAGTTTTCCCCTCTCACTATGAATGTAAGGCGTGCTTGTTATTTCCGTTGTGTTCTGCAGTACTAGAAGCAGCTCCATCAGTACTGAATGATGTTTAACATGACAGTTCTGTGTTTCTATCACACAGAGGAACAGAGATGTTGAGGGGGGACGAGGATCTGTGCTTCTGTCAGAAAGTGAATTTATTGGTGGGATCACACATTTCTTTAACTGCTTGATGAGTGTAACCAAAAAAAATTACTGTATTATATACAGTGGCCCCAAAATTAGTTTGGACACTAGGGAAACTGTATTAATGTCTTTCCATTTTGTAAGACAACATCAAACCAAGTGACATTTATTTTTAAAGAAAAATATGAACACACTTTATCAACATTTCACACGATGATGTTTATTTTCATTGTGTTATACAATTTCACTTTCTTATATATTAGTTTTTATTTGTTTGAATACACACTGCTGATTGCTAGCTGCTGGTGTACAGTTGTCGTATTATTGTCATTAGATCAGAATGGAATTGCTTTCCCAGTTCCTCCAGACGTTGAGAGGAAATCTGCTAAACAGTCTGCACGAGAGCGACGCAGACTAGCAAACCTGCAGGTAATTCACACTGAAACATCTAAACATATGTCTGTATGGTGACTTACAGACTAAAGTGCAAAAAATACTGATTGAATTGCATGCTATTGCATTTTATTTTCCGTTTTTTCTTCACGTTTCAGTTGATTCATTTTTAGATATTTTGGACAAACATGAAGTTATCGGATTTAAAGTGGTCATATGATGCTATTTTAAAGATCATTATTTTCGTCTCCCTGACATGGCTGCATCAACACTACTGCTGTTCCTGAAACCACGCCTTCTTTCTTTGCGTGCACATTTGGGCGGCATTATACTAATATTTCCACATAGTGACGTAGATATGTGGGGGCGTGTTAGAACGAGCCGTTTTAGGTAGGCGTGGCTGACTCTTAACTTTTATAAAGAATATCTCTTTGGATTTGAGACTTTAGTCTTTGCAACTTTACAGATCTTCTTTATGCACCAAGAGCTTGTAACACTCCAAAGAGAAAGGAAAACTTGAAATCGCATCATATAACCCCTTTAAAAAAAAACAAAACATTTTGCACTTTTCATGATATGCAATATTTCAACACTTTTAAACAAACAAAAAAATAGGCATTCATTTTTTTTTATAATTTATAAATAAATTCTACAAATAAAACAAAAAGTTAAATGATCAAATAAAAATTTTCTGCTCTGTTCTGCATAGTTTTGTTGTTTTAAAAAAACTGTTTTTGAATAAATTTGAGTAGATAGTGAAGGAAAGGCAGCTAACAAGTGGCCACCGCACGAGAACACTTTAGTACGATTTAATACTGATAGCATCCCAGGATGCACCTCAGACGAGAGAATGTCCAGAGCGGTAATCTAAGCATAGGCTTACTACCTTGAAGTAACTAACATATAGTTATATAGCTTTTTTCCCTGGATTTATCACTACATAATTCCTATTTTCACATTTTGCATATGATTTGCATAATTTACATATGATGACATTACTTTAATCATCATAAAGCATGAAATAATAAACAGTGTATATGTGTGTTTAGTCTGCAGAGAGGAAGCCAGTGCAGCAGCAGTCCTTCAATATGAGGAAGCTCAGAGACACAAACACTCCCAGGATGAAGGGACTACAAGCCTTCAGCCATCACAACACCACAGCAGGTGTGTGTGTGTGTTTGTCTCGATGTATGTTTTATGATTCTGGAGATGCACAACTTGTTTCAATTATGTGTTTAGGAGACTCTGATGATGACGATGAAGCAAATGGTGGTGAAGAGCATTTTACCCTGCAGTCTCCAGGCAGGCCCAGCTCTATTGATACAGCCACTACCGAGCCCTGGATTCGAGCGGAGTCATCAGACACACTCAGGAGGCTGATGTCCGCCTCTGAACTTTAAGACGGGCCATTAACATACATGACCGCACTGAGTGTGTGAGCTTGTTATTGCAATGCAGTATATATAGGATATTTTATGTAGTCTTCAGATCTCTTAAATAAAAGGATGATCAGCAGAATCTCTATGAGATCAACTGCTTTAACTGCATCACAAAATCTCTTCTGTAAACTGATCTGTGGATCCATGATATCAAGGGGTTCTTTTTAACAAAGTAGAGGGAATGATACATTTCTAATCTTTTTGTTGTGTTTTTTTCCCCCCCAAGACATAAATACTAGCATTTTGACAGATTTTTAAAGTGTTTTTACACCAGGATCACCTGCTCACACCAAGGATGATAACTATAATGATGAAGTTTTAAAAATCGTTCAAAATTTTTTAAATTTAAATAGCTTAATCCACACATCTATTGCATGACAGTGGCACTTTCAGAACGATTTTTTTTTCCAGCCGATGAATGCTTGACAGCCAATCAGAATCCACCTGAAATTAAAGAGCTTGAGCATATAAAACGGCAGATGATTGTCCGTTGGTGTGGACACTAATTGTGAACAGCCCTTTAGAGTGAATGGCATGTGTGAGAGAAGCATACAGTACTCACTCAGTGCAAAACCTGCTCTTATTTGAACCATTTCCAGACTGCAGACAGACCACGGCTAACAAAGCCCGGCAAGATCAATTCTGCTGTGGCACCGATACCATCCATAATCCGGCTGACTGTGAATGGTTTTGACTTCTCTTCTTTATGCATTTCTGATCTTAAGCGGTCAATCTGCCTCTGCATCTTGGAGGCTTGCTCCTGTAAACCCTTCTGTAGAAGAGCATCCTTCTCCTGCAATACAACACAAAACAGCCACAAGTGAAAGAATTGCTAACCATGACTTTGACCTTTGAAGGTGACTTCTCTGGAACACAGCAAAGTACATGTTTTGAAAGAAAGTGTCCTGTTCTTACTCTTAGTTTGGCTTCCAGGACTCGTTCATTGTCTCTCCTCATTCTCTCCTGCTCTTTTTCCATCTGACAAATGATCTGATTCACATGTTCCTTATGGGTTCTCTGCATGTCTTTAAACGCCCGCTTCTGCACCATTATTTGTGAGTGTGTTCTTGCTCTGTAGTCATTGGTCAGATGTCTGAGCATGTCTCTGTACTGTCGGTATCCTCCAGATCTCGGGTATGATCCATCAAAAACACCTTTTTCCAGTGTATCAAACACCTCACGCAGAACAGCTTTACACTGCTTGATAGATTCTTCTGCTGATATTCATCATACATTTTCCCCTAAAACAAATGAAAGAAACAGAGAAAATGTGATGAACTGTTAAATTTGAGCTTTTTGTGTCAGCAGGTACTTTACCATGAGCTCTTGTTGGTAGATCTGGTCATTGTCATTGAAGGACATGGAGATGAAAACTTCAACTGCTTTCTTCTCTGCAATTTTGTGGATGTCAGACAGTTCTTCTGGGCGCATAGGAAGCTGAGCCATGCTGAGCATCTCGGTCATGTAGAACTGCAGGGCCTCCTCCACTGCACGGATGTTCTGGATCTTAGCCAGAGACAACTGCATTCTCCAAACAAGGAATCTTCCCGCTGCGGATCAAAACTGCGTAAACTCACCTTCTCTGGACCCCCCCGCCCCCCCTCCCCTTTTTTGAAGAATGAGGTTGAGGATTCAGGATACAAGACCATATTGAAAACATGTAAAATAAACTTGGATATAAATATCAAGTTTTAGTTTTTGGAAAAATAAATGGCAAAATAAATTGTGTAAAATAAGAAATGTTTTAAATTCTGCACTTTTTTAGGTCACCAATCAAACAAGCAAATTTGTGACAAGTCCCATGTGAACTATTTTGTGCAAAGGATCAGATTTTCAAAGACATTCTCAAATCATCTTGGAAAACAAGATCGGCTTGTGTTCATGCAGATGTCTGAAAGTTAGTAACTTTTAAAATTTCACAAAATTCACTGCAAAAGTTAAAAACAAACTCTTTATTATCTGATGAAAGTGCTGTTGATAGATTTTGGCACTAACATTATAGAGAGCTATTAATAATGTTAATTGGTCAGTTGTACACAGTTATCAGTTGACAGTGATAATCAGCCAGTTCTTCGGCCTGGTTAATATATAGGTATATCAGTAGTGTTCACATAGTAAAGAAATAAAATATAACAAAAATATACAACAAAATACAACATTCTGTGCATACATTGCTTAAAGTTACAAAGGGCCCATGTATTGATCACTTTGGTAACAGCTTTGTTCATGACAAATGTTGATTCTTGCTTAGAGGTTAATATACTGGGCTTTCAAAGTAATTGGCATCTTGTGAGTAAGCAATGCCTATGAATTGAGTTGACTAATTCACTGACTAAAACAATGACATACTGCTGGAGGATAGTAATTCTGATTCAAGTTATATATGTTTAGGTGTGTGTGAATAAGCTTGTATTAAAAAAAAATTTGATAACAGTGAAATACCAACACCAATCAGTTTAGGGGTGAAGCCTGGCATGAGCCATGTTGTTGCAGTGCCGATACAATTCAAAACCCGGCCCAATATGGAGTGTTGTGATGATTTCTCTTTATCCATGTCTGCTTTCAGGCTGTTAATCTCACTCTGCATCCGGGCAGCCTCCCATTGGAAGCCCATCTTTAAAAGAGCTTGATTTTCCTGTAACACACAAGGAGCAACTAAATAATGAATGGTCCAAAAAACAGGATGAGTAATACATTCTGTCAACCACAAAAGCAATATTATGAAGCCTGTAAATTATGGAGCTTATAATATGACAAAACTAATTGAATTTGTATTGTGTAAATTTGAAATATTGACAAGTGTCATTTAACAAAACTGAATACTATGTGGCATTTAACATAGTTCTGAATTAGATTTTTTTGAACTTGAATATGAAACATTTGAAATGTAACACAACTGAATATTTTTATGGCAGAGTTTTATAGACATGTATTTTCAAACAGCAATTTTTTTTGTTCTGAAATCTTAGACTGCAAATATCCAGCTTTTAAAAATACAGCTTCAAGTTTTCAAGATGAAGAGGAAATTCGAAACATCAAATTCAATATTCTAAAATTCAATACGCAGAAATTCAGATCGTAGAGAAAGTAGGTCAGAGGTAATCCACAGGGAAAAGTAGATTATCTCCGAAAAGTCAAACGGAGCATTTAGCCAATTAGTAGTTTTCTGGCGTGAGCGTGCAGTTTAAGATCTACCTGATCATGAATCGCCCAGAGGTAGCCTAAGTGATTCTTAAACATTTATGGTTTATATACTTATATGTTAGGTTAGCATTCTCAGCATGTGAAACTGATGATGTTTATTAAAAGCCGTGCAAGTTTTGAATGCTTATATCTTGTAAATGTGAATTTTGTTTTGGAGCACACTAGTTTATAGATAACCTTGAGGCTAACATATTCATAAAAGCCAAAAAAACAACAATTTTGATTTGACAAGGACTTTAAAGATATTTAAAAAGAAAAGAAAAGAAAAGTTGTGTATTCATTCTAAAAAATGCTGGGTTAAAAACAACCCAGCGCTGGGTGAAATATGGACATACCCAGCGATTGGGTTGTTTTGACCCAGAATTTTTTAGAGTTAAACATTTAACCCAATCTTCTTGGTAGTTTTATTTAACTCAGCTATTAAAAATAACTATATATCTTGCATAAAATGAACCCAAGTAGGTTGCAAATGAACATTTATTAATATGCTCAATAAATGAACATTTATTAATAAGTTGAATAAATAATAATTAAACATTTTTAAATTGCTTATTAATAAATGTTCACCTTTTGATTGTTGCTGATGCCTCTAGTTATTATGTGTCTGATTGTTAATTGACTACAACCTATTTTGGGTTATATAAATCCATTTAAAACGGTTCTTACTCTCATTTTGGCTTCCAGGACTCGTTCATTGTCTCTTCTCATTCTGTCCTGCTCTCTTTCCATCTGATGAATGATCTGATTCACATGCTCATCATAGGTTCTCTGCATGTCTTTAAATGCCTGCTCCTGTAACCGGTTCTGTTTCTTTAGGCTTCTTTTCTGCTGCTTTAGAATCTCTGTCTTCATCTTCTCCACTGCAAAGTGCAGTGTTTTACTGAACACCTCCACCATCACTCTTGCTTTGTGCATTGTCATTGTCATACTTTTACACCCATTTCTACTAAAAATATCTGAACTACATGGCTGCATGCTTGAATTTTTCTGCTTGTCAGTGGATGTAGCTAAAACAGCTAAACACATTAACTAGAAAGGTGTGCCCACATACTGTACATATAAAGGTACGCAAGCAAACACTTCACATTTTGCATTGTCATTGTCATCCTTTTACACCCAATTCCACTAAAAATATCTAAGAAAACTGCATGGCTGCATGCTTGAATTTATCCACCTTTTAATGGATGTAGCCTAAATAGCCAAACACATTCATTAGAAAGGTGTGTCCACATACATTTAGTCTTGCAGTTTACTTGTGCATGCACACACAGCAATAAAGATATGCAGTATGAGAGCTTAACAGATATTTAGAATAGAAATTTATGAAAGCGTATTGTCTTGTGTATCATATCATTCTATCAATCAGCCTTAATTGATAGAATGATAGAAAAGTGTGCAGCTGATTTGAATTGTACCCTCTTTCTCCTGTTCTGCTGCATTGAGAGATTGGTCAGCTTGTAGAATCATATTTCCAATATCTTCCTTTGTTTTCAAAAACTTGCTCAACACTGCTTCACTCTGTAGATAAAAATATATATTACATTCAAAGCATCATTCAAAATGTCTGTTTACACAATTACAGTTTTAAATTAGGATTTGTTACAAAAAAAACAAAAACAAATAAATAAATCAGTTTACTTATCCTTTTGTCATTCCAAATCTGTTTGTTGTTTATTTGTGTTTTGTACCATTATTTGTGAGTCTGTTCTTGCTCTGTACTCTTCTGACAGCTGTCTGAGCATGTCTATGTACTTTTGGGATCCTCCAGGTTTCAGGTATGATCTGTCAGAAATGCCCTTTTCCAGTGTATCAAACACATCATGCAGAACTTCCTCACACTGCATGCGAGATGCATCATAATTCTGCTGGCACATCTGTTGATATTCATCATAAATCTTCCCCTAAAAAGCGAAAGCAATAAGAGAATGTGTAAAAAATAAAAGTTTGTGCATTTTTATTTTTGAACAAAATGCTCTGCCTTCGCATAGACTAAATCTATTTGACCTGTACACATCATGTTCTCTCTATAACAAAAAAACAGTTGCACTGCATCCCAATTCATATACACTCTTAAAAATAAAGGTGCTTCATGATGCCATAGAAGAACCTTTTTGTCTAAATGGTTCCATAAAGAACCTTCAACATCTGAAGAACCTTTCTGTTTCACAAAAGGTTCTTTGTGACGAAAGAAGGTTCTTCAGATTACAAAAAGGTAAGAAAGAGATGGTTCTTTAAAGAACCTTTGACTGAATGGTTCTTTGTGGAACCAAAAATGGTTCTTCTATGGCATCGCTTGAAGAACCTTTTGAAGCACCTTTATTTTTAAGAGTGTACCTCTTTTTATCCAAGACTATAGGCTTCTTTTGCCAGGTTCCTAAGACATTGTGTGTATTCTGTTGTCTGACTGTCTCTCTTTTACTTTCTGTCTGTCTATCTTAGTTACTTTGATGTGTGTTTCAGCAGGTACCATGAGCTCTTTTTGGTAGATCTGGTCATTGTCATTGAAGGACACAGTGATGAAAACTTCAATGGCCTTCTTCTCTGCAACTGTGTGGATTTTGGATAGTTCTTCTGGGTTCATTGGAAGCTGAACCAAGTTGAACATCTCTGTCACGTAGAGCTGCAGGGCCTCCTCCACTGCACGGACGTTCTGGATCTTAGCCAGAGACACGACTGCGTTCTCCAGACATGGAACATTTCCGCTGCGGATCGCCTCTACATAAACCTCAGCAAGATTACCCAGAGCTGTCAGGAAACACAATAGTTCAGTCAGACATCTTTCTTTCGCATTTCATTGATCTCTACAAATGGTTATTTATCTGCTTAATGCTGCAATAAGTGACTTTTTTAATAAGACAACAAATAAAATGTCCCTAATACCTGACTAATTTTAATAAGAGTGTCCTGAGCAATCATACAGCCATACTTTGTAACAGCCATAAACTCTAAACATCAGTCAATCACAATCTTTGAACGCATATGTCTATTTCAACCAATGGTAGAGGTTTGGAGCTGGACATGCTGTTTAGTTGAATATAGGATGGCAAAACAGCCATACTTTGTAACAGCCATAAACTCTAAACATCAGTCAATTACAATCTTTGAACGCATATGTCTATTTCAACCAATGGTAGAGGTTTGGAGCTGGACATGCTGTTTAGTTGAATATAGGATGGCAAAAGAAAATTTTTTTTGGCACAGTTGATCAGTTAGAAAACTGCTCAGATTTCTACAGAGTGATAGAAATGATGCTTCTCAAAAGAGTTTTATAACAATGTTTTTATGCATTTGTTTTCTACAAGTAATTCTGTGAAGACACACACCTGTTCCAGTAATTGTACGGCCGCCACTGACAGTTTTTGTCTTTGAATTGTTGTAGATGTAACGACAGAAGGTGTTTGCCTGCTCAAGGAACTTTGACTCCAGTTCTTTCTCAGTCAGCTCCTCCATTCTCCACATGCTTTCCATACTAGCAGGCCGAGGGAAGACAAAGCACTTCCTCACCGCAAAGAAATTCCGCAGACAGCTGCGTGGCAGGTTATACTGCACCGTCTGAGGTGAGCTACCTAAAATACGATAATTATGAATCATCAATGATATCATATTATATTTAAAGCGGTCATCGGATGCCCATTTTCCACAAGTTGATATGGTTCTTCAGGGTCTTAATGAAAAGTCTATAACATACTTTGGTTAAAATTTCTCAATGGTAGTGTAAAACAACACCCTTTTTACCCTGTCAAAAACAGCTCTGTTTTCAGCTCTGTTGCTTTAAATGCTAATGAGCTCTGCTCATCCCGCCCCTCTCTTCCGTGGGGTGATGAGCAGACTGTAGACTTCAGCCGCGAAACTTGCTAACTAGTACATATTAAGAAAGGCGATTTGCAAAGATTCATAAAAAACCTTATACTCACTTCTTCTGTAGATGAAGCTGGATCACGAATGATTCGCGCGAACATAAACACATTTAGGCAGATCGGGGATCGGTGCATTCCCTTCACAAACGAAAGTAACGTTAATCCTCTGCGTCTTCAGTGGCTCAGATGTTGGGAGTAAATGACGACTGCTGTGTTCATTATTACATCCAACAACAAAACAGCTCAATCGCTTAATCGGAGACATTCTTGTCTTCCCCTGCACTGGAGTCGACACAATGTCGGAAAGCTCACAGTTCACTAAGGGCGGGTCTAAGGTAAGACGGCCTTGTCAATCAACTATCGTGGGAGCGGCCTGTGCAGAACTACGTCATTCTGACAGGAATCTCAGAACAGCCTGATTTGAAAAAGGGGATTTTAAAATAGGGATTTAAAAAAAACCACTGGGTGGATTTTTATCATTATAGGGTGGATGTGTACACACACTTCCAACACAAATTTATGTTCAAACAACATGTAAAGTGAATTTTGCATCCGATGACCCCTTTAAAACTATCAGAGCATGATGCTAGCAGTGGCAAGTTCATGAGTTTGATTGACAAGGAATGCATGATAAAAGAACACCTTTAATGAAATGTAAATCATTTTGGATATAGGGGCCTACTCTTCTGCCAAATGTATACATCAAGGTTGCAGGGCTGCAAAGATTTTTTCCTTTAAAAATCCTATTACAATTGGTAAACATACATATATACCAATTTATGCAATAAACAAGAATATTTATAATTTATGTAAATCGCCAATGGGGATGTAGATTCACTCTTTTTAAATGATGACTAAATTGATTAGCCTACAGTTTAGTGTAATAATTATTTTACAATTTAATGAACAGAAATAAAGAAATTGCAAGTTGAGGTTTAAAATAAAAAATCAAATAAGCAGGTTTAACCACATCTACCACCCCAGGTGCCATAAATATATTTGTAAAGGAATCACATGGCAGCAATTTATCTACATTCCTTGCAACTTTTTCTCAGAGTCTAAGTAACCCAGATAGAAAGGTGACACTGATACAATGTTTACTTTCTATCCAAAATCCAAAAATTATGATTGGAATTGCAATGTTAAGAGTCTGTTGGAGCAACGTTGATGACCACAAAATCATGTGCACTTCTCAGAATTGTAATTGTTGCTTCCTTATTAGAGAGAAAACACATCCTCATCTTGCTAACACAATGGTACATCTCTGTTATTTCTCCGTTTCTTTGTTTTACTGGCATGTGTTTTTGTGTTTGACACTGTTTAAAAAACATGTTACAAATTCTTATTAAAATTGTTATCAATTTTTATTCATAACAGTATTGTATTTATAATTAACAATATTTTATTTATAATTAATGTTTGTAAATTTTTTTATGTTACGCAGAGCAATGCACTGTTGCTGCCATTGCTCTTTGATCAGACCATAATAGATTTTTATTTTATCTTGTGTTACCAATTTTCTTTTTAGTGTTGTAAGCAGCCAAGTAAAATGACACTATGACTTATCCTGGACTAAGATGGAATGAAAATACTACAAATTTTGCAGGATAGATGGCTGAAACGTGTTCAAAATGTGATCAAATCTTAAAGGGTTAGTTCACCTAAAAATGAAAATTAGCCCATAAATTACTCACCCTCAAGTCATCCTAGGTGTATGCCTATGGTATACTCAGCGGGTGTTGCATGCATCAGTCCAAAAGAAGTTAAATAAAATGTGCCCATCCATATAAAAAAAAAAATGTCTCACAAGGCTGGAGCAAATTTTAATAGGATTTTTAAAGGAAAAAATCTTTGCAGCCCTGCAGCCTTGTTCCGGGGGGTGAACAAAGGCCTCCTGTAGCGAATCGATGTGTTTTTGTAAGAAAAATATCCATATTCAAAACATAATAATCACTTTAATGTAGCTTGCGCCAACAGTCCTACACGGAAGCAGTTCCGGGTGGATGACGTATGAGGTCGGCTTTGCGCATGCGCCGCTCAGAAGTGACAAACTCGGAAGTGCAGGGGAGAGATCAAAACAAAACACCGGTCACTTATTAGAAGTACAAAACGAGGATTTGTAAAGAAGAATGTCGGAGGATTTCGATATAAGCCAAGAGGAGACTGGTTTTCCTTTGCTAAAGTAAGGAAACGTTGCTTCCTTTGCTCATGTTAACAAACGTTGGTTTTCAAGAGACTCACAGGCGCATGCGCGGCGCTGAACTCATATGTTATCCGCCCGGAGCTGCTTCTATGACTTGAGGGTGAGTAATTTATGGGCTAATTTTCATTTTTGGGTGAACTAACCCTTTAATGCCTAATAGGAATTGTAATTTGTGTATTTCCACATTATCTTAATTTCTACATTAAAATTTCAAATTCAAATGTCCCTGCACTCTGAAAGTAAATATGTACTGTATGTTTTTAGTGGCAATTCTGTTTTTCCACCTTGTTTTAATTCCAATGCACCCTCCAGATAGTCGTCTGATGTTATTGGTTTATCCCCCTTTTTCAGTTGCAGAGTGAAGTCACGAACAGCCCAGACAAACGATGGAAAAACACGCATGAAATCTGCCGACTCGTCCTCATGTTGACCCACTTCTGCCTTCACACGAATGTTCTCCGTCAGCTCTGTAACATAGCTACATTCAGCACTGTTCAGGAAGAGTTACACTGCTGCTACGAGAGAGTGTTTTCAATTTATTGCACTGTATGTGCATGTTTTTGTTTGTTTATAGTGCGAGAAGGATACTGCAGCTTTTCCAGTGCCGTGTTGTCAATGACTCCTAAGCTGTTGTACACTAGACTGCTGCTGAGAAGAACAGTCAGGCAGAAGATCCATGTGTCATGTTTCTCATCCCCCTGAAATATTAAAAGACTGTCAGCTACAATAAGCAGCTGTGTATTTACCTTTACTAGCAACAGACCATACTGTAATTAGTTTAGTTTAAAACTGATCTGTAAACTCTAAACCATTTGAGCATCATTTGAGAGTAGTGCTGTGGCCCTGTGAGCAAAGTTTAAATAACATAGCCATGGTACATTGATTAGCTAATGAAAACTGAAAGCACAGATCAGGTGATGATAGATTCTGAGAGGTAACATTGCTATGAACACATCATTGTGGATGCTGTGTGCCCTTCCTCCTCACCTTCCTTACGTCACCAAGTCCCTCTGTGTCCAGCAGCACCAGAGTGTGTCCTTCTTTATAGGGGTGAGGGACACACCACATCCAGATACCTTTGGTCTCTGATTCAATAGTGCTGCCGAGAGCAAAGCCTGAGACAGTCACATTAATCAAAAACAAATGAAGATGCCCAAGATGACAAGAAAAAATATTTTTAAATATTGTTTGTATGTCATTATAGTAGTCTGACTGCACACGAGGAAGATTTGAAGCTATTTCTTTAAGCAACACCTGTCTGTTGTCCTGCCAGGCGGTTCATAAGGTAAGATTTCCCCGTACGGTAGAGTCCCACCACAGACACCACCACCACCGGCTCATTGATCCCATCCAGAATGTCTTTGGCCTCTTTTCTCACACGCAGCTTCCCATTTTCATCGTTTTCAATAAAACACACCGGAGCAGACATGAACCCGCCACACGCCATGACTCAAAAACATAACGCAATAAGTTACATAAAATAATAAACAAAGTAATATTTTTGAATAAACAAAGCCATTCTGGTGATTTTATACTAACAAAAATAATACAACTTAAATCTGACTGTTAATTACCTCACGGAAAAGCAGTTGAATGCCTGAATTTGTTGTCGTCGTCGTCAAAAAAAAGATCTTTTAATAAACTCTTTGGAGGCTCTTCCTGTCTAACAGGTTTGTTACCTTGTTCTCTGAATGATACTAAATAGGCCTATGGATGTGCGTTATCTGGGAGTGATGCTGTCACGAAAGTGCAAGTATACTTGTTATTGGATAGTAATCAGGTGACTCAGAACCATCAGTTTAACGTCATCTCAAACAATAACTTACTGAGAACTACAGGAGTGAGAAACAACATCGGTAAGATCTTCTACTAACTAAAACATGTCGTTTAGGGTTGCTCAACGTAGTCTATACTACAACACTAGGTAACGAACTGTGATGATAAGTTTCGAATAGGCTACTGTTGCTGTGGGAGTGACGGTAGATTTGACATCTTTCTCTCTTTTGACCGCCGTGATCTATCTCTGTATGTTTACGATTTTTGAAAGTCGTGGAAATGCAATAGTGGATTTTTCTGTTGCTTTTGGGGTAAATTGGAAAGCAAAAATAATATTTGCTATGTTCTTCCATGTACCTTTATAAACTCAATCCCGTAAAAAGTGTTCTTTATACTTCTGCATTCCAAACCCGGAAACCTCATCCATTGTCTCCTGGTGAAAGAGGCCTGTCAAGTGACAATCATTTGCATTGTGCTGGTGAGAGTGATTTAAAGTCTTTGGACGTGATGACTCATCATTGTGTCAAGTTTTTGCATTTTTAATATTTTGCACTGAAGTATAGGCCTACTTTTAAATGTCTGTTCAGTAGTTCCCTATGTAAAAGAAGACAACTAATTAGGTAAAACGAACAAACTTGTAGCCAATCAGCAGTAAGGGGCGTGTGTACTCATGATGTGGTGGAGAGAGCTTTCAGTGCACAGGACAGACATTAGCCGAGCCAAACAGAAAGATAGAGATGGCAGATAAAAAAACAAAAGAATGTTTACGATAAGGCAAGAAGTAGGACCCGTGTAAATATCGGATCCAGCTTTCCCCGAAAAGTAAGATAATATGTTTAATACAGCAGATAATAATACAGAAGATTCCGCCATAATCGTTGCCTGGGTTGCAAACGTATGTGTGGGGCAGAGCTATCAAAATAGGGGCAAGACCCTTTTGGCTTAGGGGCGTTTGTTTTGGTGATTTGAAATATCAACATTGGCTACCAGAAATCACTTACCCCACCTTTAAAGATCCAGCAATATATTTAACTGTGGGTGTGAGCTTTTTATCTGTTTGCACCAAACCCATCTGGTGGGTTTGCTGCCAAAAAGCTTGTCTTAATTTCATCTGACCATAGAACCCAGTCCTGTAGTCCGTAGTAAGGATTTTTTTAAATTTAATATATACTGTATATATACAGGTGCATCTAAAAAAATTAGAATATCGTGAAAAAGTTCATTTTTTTGGTAACATATAAAAAAGTGAAACTTTCATATATTTTAGATTCATTACATGTAAAACATTTCAAACGTTTTTTTGTTTTAATTTTGATGATTAGAGCTTACAGCTCATGAAAGTAAAAAATCCAGTATCTCAAAATATTAGAATTTTTCCTAAGATCAATCAAAAAAGGATTTGCAAAACAGAAAAGTTCAAGTTCTTTAAAGTATGTTAATTTATGCACTCAATACTTGGTCAGGGCTCCTTTAACACAAATGACAGCATCAGTGAGGTGTGGCATGGAAGCGATCAGCCTGTGGCACTCCTGAGGCACTATTGAGCCTTCAGCTCGTCTGTATGGTTTGATCGATTGTTTCTGTTTCTGTATCTTTCTCTTGAAAATATCCCCTAGATTACATATGGGCTTCAGGTCAGGCATGTTGGCTGTCCAATCAAGCACAGTAATATCATGGTCAGCAAACCACTTGGAAGTGGTTTTAGCACTGTGGGCAGGTGCTAAAGTCCTGCTGGAAAATGAAATCAGCATCTCAATAAAGCTTGACAGCAGATGGAAGCATAAAGTGCTCCAAAATCTCCTGGTAGACGGCTGCATTGAGTTTGGACTTGATAAAACACAATGTGGTACTTTAGTTGATTGGAACTTCTTAATTATTGCCCTGATGGTGGAAATTGGGATTTTCACTGTTTTAGCTTAGGCCTGTCGCAATAATCAATATATCGACTTATCGCGCAATATATGTACATGACCTCAATAATTTTTGGTGACGCAATATATCGCCCATTATATTTACTTAAAAATTAATGTCACCGTGTTTTTTACATTCCACTTGCGCCTGGGTCTTTTGCAGCGTCTCGTACATAACGTGGTGTAGTCATGAGGTGCTAGTTCAAATTTAAAAAATGCTTCTACAAAAAAAAGTTTAATCTGCAGATATGGCCTTGTTTAGGGATCTGTGCCTTTGTGCATACGTGCATCTGACTGCTAAATAGTGATTGTGTTTTTCAGCAATAGTGTGCACCCTTAATTTACAGAGAAAGTAGGTCAGGGAAAAATCTGTAGATGGAAAAATCTCCATACAAGTTCTTTGTGCATTTTTCTCTTTTTGTACTTGTTACTTTGCACTTTTTGTTAGAAAATGTTTATTTACTATTTATTCAAGTTTTTTAAGGTATCTAATATTTTGATACTTAATT